GTATATATATATATATATATATATACGTGATAGATATAGTAAATTAGAAGGTGCATTTTCGAATTGGAGGAAACTTGGTGATGGTTTCGAATATGCTAGTCCTATACAATACAATCAGGAATATAGGCAGGTTGAAATGCAGAAGAAGGCACATGAAAGCGATAGCGAAAGTGAGAATCCGCAATGGGAAGAGGAGAGTGAATCTGGAGGTAGGCAAATTGCACATGTAATACATAGTAATAGGAAATAACTGTAACTGTCCTAATCACTATGTAGGATATGATGACAAAAAATAAGTTTACAGAATCTTCAATAACTGAAGAATGTGATACAGACGAGTTAGCCAATAATCCTGAAAAACTTCTTATCTTTACAACTGGCTCGAAAACATATACTCCGCATAAAGTTGGTTTTAAAAGGATCAAATTAGTTACTTTCCCACGAAGATTGGATCCGGGACCATCTCTGCGCGAGAGAATAGCTCAACAAAAAAGGGAACGAGAGAGACAGAATACTCCATCAGTAGAAGATTGGTTAAATTATGAATCTGTGGCGGACAAATTCGATAAAATAGATCATTTAATTGATCTCCATGGTCACATTATTGGAATGGGACTTTCTCCCGATCATAGGTCAGTTGCACAGTCATGTAGAATAAATAAGTGTACTTGAGATGTATAGACATTTAATTATGCATGTATTTCCAGATATCTTTATGTAAATTCGAGGCCATGGCCAAAGGGTTACGTTATTACTAATCCTTTACAACCACCGCCGATAGCTCAAGAAATCGATATTCATGTAATCGACTTGGTAACATTAAAGCAAGTTGGCACGATGTTAAGGGCACACAAAGCATACACGCCCAATAACGAATGTTTCTTTATATTTCTGGATGTATGTAATGAATACGTAGCAAGGTAATTAATACGCTTGTATTTAATTTATTAATTTAATTAAGATTTAATTTTTCAAAATATAAAATACAGTTGTCATAAAAAATTTTTGTTTGCAGTGGTGCGGAAGATAAACACGGTTACTTATGGGATAGGCATTATGGAATTTGTTTAGCAAAATTTCCCCATAGTGATGTAGTCAATTCAGTGGCTTTTAATCCACGCGATCCTGAGATGTTAGTTACAACCAGTGATGACTATACAGTTAAAATATGGCGAAGTCGGGCTATGGTAAAGGCTTTAGATTTAGATGAAAAGTCTTATCGTAGGGGGATGGAAGTGCGAAAGAGACATAAATATCAGAAATGCGGTACTAATGTTGACTGATTAAAAACTATTAAATTTCTAATTTAAACATTTATTTTTACAAGATCTTAGAGATATATTTTACACTTAAGTTTTAGTATATACTATACAAAATCGTCCAGAATACTATTATTGCATAAAAACACAAATATGATAAGAATATATTTTTCGATTACCTGGGATTATGCAAATTACATATGCAGATTTTCATTTCTTGGTAATATAATATAGAATCTCATTAGACGAGTATTTCTATTTTGAAAAAAATAAAAATTACTAAGAATATTGTTAAAAGAATGAATATCATAAGAATATATTGTTGATACACATCTGTTATCATGCAAAATTAGAAAATAAATTTACGAAAGATTTTAAAATTATATTATCCATTCAAAGATAGATTATCATCAAACTATTTTTAAATTTTCAGAAACTAATATTAGATCAGTGATTTGCCTAATGATCAAAAATCCTATCTGCTTATTTGTATTCTATGCACATTAATTCTCAAGATATTTTTTAATACTTAAAATCATCAGCTTAAAATTTATAGTCTATATATATATATATATATGGAACTAGTTTAAAATTTATTTTTAAATGAAATTAAAAATTGAAATTCAATGAAAGTGTGCAATGAATATTAAGTTTCCTTATAATTATAATTTTTTTTATGAGTATGACCTTAAAATTTCGGATTTTCTTATTTAATCTATTCTGTATATTTTTTATGTATATTTGAAATATTTACAAATTTCATCTACTTACGCTTATATTAAATAAAGGAAACAAGGAATAAATGTAAATGTGCACTATTTTATATTTTTTCTTTGTCATATGTAATACGACATAATTATTTATAATTATGGCGTATAACAATGTAATTTGTAATACATTATTTCATTTTTTGAGCTTGTATTATAGAGCAATTGCATTGTAAAATTATAAATGTAATAAATCTCAAAAAAAACAAAAATGAAATTTTGACATATATTCCTAATTTTTCTTCATATTAGAATATAATTGTAAACTTGATTTAATAATAGTTAAATATATGAAATATTATCATAAATCACAAAATAATGTATGTTTTTTTCTAACGCATAAAATCTAGATCTCTATATTAAGTAAATAGTAAATAACAAACAGTATATGTAAAGTAAATAACATTAATCGGACGTAAACATATAAGGAATGATGAAATTACTTTTCAAAGAATGTTGAATAATTTACTATTCGCAAGACATGTATAATAATTAACAATTTCAATAATATTTATAATCTTCTGCACGATTAAAGCACTGTAATATAAGTACATATACTAGTGCAAAATCATATTTAGAGTTTGTGTACCTAAAACGATAACAATATGACTT